AGGAGGATACTGGGCGCCCAGATGAGGCTGCAAAGGTGAATAAAGGCAAACAAAACAAACCAGTTGCTGTTGAGTTGTGTCTGACTCAGGATGACCCCCTTTGTGTCAGGGTAGTGCTGTACTCTATAGGGTTTTCAATGGCTAGTTTTTCAGAAGATCATCAGACTTTTCTGTTAGCCACTGAGCCACTGTTCACACCACCCAGGGACTCCAAACTGAGCAGGCTTAATGAGGATCTATTTAATGAATAAAACAAGCTCCAGTCTTGCAGCAAGGATATCAACAAGATAAACATTACAAAAACGAGTTGAAAAAGCTCCTATCTTTGTGCTCTAAACCACTTGCTTGCAGATCTCTCTTGACTCTATCTCCCTGCTTTTCTTCAGACTGAACTCTCTGCTTGGAATACCTTCCCCAAGCTGTGTCTCTGCTCTGTTCAACAAGCCAGCTAACTCTTTTACTATAATCATCTGCTCTGGGACATCTTCTGTAACATTTATTGTCTGTGCTTCCTTATGTTTCAGCACTGGGCATGCCATGTCCAGTTATTAACTGTCCACATGTCAGTGTCCACACTCTCTCTTTTCCTCTATATCACCACTTGGAATAGGTCAGGAGTGCGGGGCTGGCACCCCAAAAGACCCCAATGCCTTCAAGTAGATTAGACTCCTTATGGTGAGCTGGCAAGAGGGGGATATTTGCAGATTTTCAGCAGCAAATTCTACCCCACCCTCTTCAGTCTGGGATTGGAGTTGGACACTGCCACCTGCTGACAGCAAGTGAGTAGCAGGGAAAGCAGGGTGGGGAGGGAGGAGACCCTTGGAAATAGTCCAGGCTCATGTTGGTGTTGTTGTTTTTGAAGGAGGAAATCACACAAGGTCTAGCTAGATGGAGGGTCCGTCCAAGCGCAACTGATGTGCTGGGGTGGCAGAGCTGGGGATGGGAGTGGGATGGAGGAGTGCTGATAAAGTCACTGCTCAGAGATGAGGATGAACGGTCCAGCCCTGTGGGACTGCTGAGGCCCAAGTCCAGACCCTGGGCCCAAGCCAGGTCAGCAGAGGGTCCCGGATTGTGTCTGCACAGCTGGAAGGTGAACCCCTCAGCTGAGTCAGGACTTCTAGGGTGACAGGCACCAGCCTCAAGCCAAGTTTCGACACCCCCACCCCCTTTTCCGGAATAACTTGTTTTGCTCTAAAGCTTGGGACTTTGACCCTGGAGATGTGTTTTTCTCCTGTTGGTCACCTGATGTCCTTCCTGCTCACCCCCTCCTGCCTTCATCCTGATCCCCATAAGCCTCGTTCAGGGAGCCCTTGCCTTTCCCCAGATTCTTTAGTTTTAGGGAATATGGGGAGGCTTGAGGGTGGGAGGCAGGTCCTGGGACTTGAAGACTGATGGAGGAGGTGGATGGGAGCTGGACTGCCCCTGGGGGTGGATGGGAGGAATTGCAGGTCAGAGCAGTGCATCCTCTATACGCCTCTTCTTGGATCCTTCCTTTTTGGGTTTCTGGAAACACCCCACTCATCTGAGTTTCTTCCCCTTGCCTCATCTTCCTTGGCAAGGTCTTATGTGTTGGGGCTCTCCCGTTCTATCCCCTGCATTTCTCCCATCACTCTGTGTTCCCTTCCTTGGGAGGCCATGCACTCCCATCCCTCAGTTACCACCCCTGATCTAGTTCTCAGTTCCAGGTGGCTCCCTAAGCATCAGACACATGGATAGGACGACCTCTGGACATCTCCCACTTGGGGGGAGGGCGGCTGTAGATACTACAGACACAATCCCGGTAGGCTGTACCTCACCAATCCTCCACAGCCCGAAACTAGCTCCAACCCCTTCTGAGGCACCACATCCACCCAGGTGCTCAAGCAGGAAACCTGGGGATCACCCTCAACTCCTCCCTTTCCCTCACTTGCCACTTCCAGCCAGTCCCCGTGTTCTCACTACCATATCCTGTCTAGGCTATATCCTAAATAGAGCTCAAAGCCATTCCCATGCCTCCCCAGTGCAGATCATTCCATGGTTATGTGGTTGTTGTAGCAGCCTCCCCTCGTTCTCCATGCTATCCACTCCCATTCCATTCTCCACACTGTGTGCAGAGACATTTTTCTCAAATACAGACCTGACCATGTGACTCCCTGCTTAAAACCCTTGAAGAAGACATCAGTGGGTGTTTGTGAAATTAAGCCCCATTCCTTACATTCCAATCAGTGAGCCCCTGGCTGTTCATTAACACGCACTGTACTTTAGCCAGACTTTGTGCCAAAGATTCTGAGGACACCAAGTGGGGATGAAGGTGGTGGTGGGGAGAGCAGGATGTACGGCATGGGAGGCAGCACTCAACTCTAAGCAAAGTTCTGCTCATTTCAACTTGAGACTCCCCATCTTTGGGTGGCAATGTGTCCCCCTGCACACATATGTGCACACAGACAAGCAGCAAGCAAGCAGGGAGGAGTTGTGATGTCTGAGTGCTCCCACTGGCAGAACTGTCCTGAATAGATGCCCAGATCATATGAATAGCAGTTGGTGGCCTCCTGGCGAGAAGGCTGTGGAGAGACATTCTGATCTGCCCCTGGCCTATATTGGCTACCGGGGACCCTCCATTTCTGAGACTTTGCCCTTAAGTCTGTCTGGCTCCTTCTTTTTTGTTATCTGTGGAGCTGGACTCTCAGCATCTTTGGCTTCCTATACTCCTCAGGTGGGATGGAGCAAGCATGACCCTTGACTCCAAGCCTCCATAAGTACTTGTTGTTGTGGTTGTTAGGGGCCATCGAGTCGGTACTGACCCATAGCAATGTTATGCACAGCAGAACAAAACACTGCCCGATCCTGGTTGCCATGCTTGAGTCCATCGATGCTTGAGT